TTCTTCTGTTTTAACAATATATTTAGTTAATATAGAGGGAAACGGCATATTTGAAATTATTTAAAAAAAAATCTTTTATGGCTTAGCGCAGACTGGCGGACATTGTCCCGGACAACTTAAAAATGGTGGACACGTCCCGATTGACAATAGTAATATGGGACATGTGATCAGATGAAAATCCTGGATATGTCCCAGAATGTCTGTGTCCGCTCAATTTCGGCGGACAGTGTCTGGTGTACAATACTGTCTTCAGGTACTACGACATCAAAGAAAGGTTTAATGCCTGTAATATTTATGACCGCTTTTTGTCCATTAATTAAAGTACCAGCAATACGCAAAATATAGGTAGAGGTCATATTTATATATTTGGTATCATCACTAACTTCAGTAGGCATGAAATGTATGGGTTGTTTACCAGATATGCTTTGTTGAAGTATAGCAGACATTCCATTATCATATTCTGCTATGATCTCATTACGTGATGGAATACTGGCTAAAGGTTCAGCGCCGTCATAGCGGGCAAGAGTTCCAGTGCGATCGGTTTGGTCGGAAATAGTTGTGTTATGCATGTCGTCAGTAAGTAAAACTTTATATATTCCAATATATTTCTGAAATGTTTAATTATTTTTTTGGTGGATGTAAAAAAGAAGCGTATAGTAGGTTAGCGAAAGAATTGGAAATAAACCTATTCTTAATAGGTGGTATTTAGGGTAGGTAAGTTCCAAATCTATTATAAAATATTAGAATTTACCTACCCTAACACTAGTATGTACTCGGGCATGGGAGACCCCTCATTAACGCAAACCAGCTATATGATTTTGCGTCTAGTCAGAATCAATATATACTGCCTACTTATACTAACCATCAAGAAGAAAGGCATCTGGATGCATCCGGGTATGTGTATTCAGGTATCTTCTTCAGAAATATAAAAATATTGGTAGAAGCCTACCCTATCACTAGTATGTAGTCGGGTATAATATGACATTTAGAGTAGGCTTCTTCGGTATCTTTATATAAAATATTGGCAGAAGCCTAATAATCCCAAGAAAGATAACAAACGTGCCACTAGTGCCATATTTATTTCTTATAAATTTATTATCACATATAATGACATATGATATCTTACCAATCGAGGCGATGAGTTAGGCTTTTTTTTGATAGATGCAAAAAAGAAGGGATAGCAAGATGGTAACGGGCCAGGAATAAATGTATTCTTAATAGATGAGTACTTAGGGTATTCTTCTCCGTAATTATTATATAAAAATTGAAAGAAGAATACCCTAACATTAGTATGTAGTCGGGTATATTATGACATTTAGGGTAGGTAACTTCGTAATCTATTATATAAATATTAGAACTTACCTACCCTAACACTAGTATATACTCAGGCATGGGAGACCCCTTATTAACGCAAACCAGCTATACAATTTTGGGCCTGATCAGAATCAATATATTCTGCCTATACTGACAATCGAAATTGGCATACTTATACCAACCATCAAAAAGAAAGGCAAACTGATATATATCAAAAAATGTAGGCTTCTCCATAATCATTATATAAATATTGGGAGAATCCTACACTTTTCTAGATATGTATTCGGGTATGTCATCTAGGATAGAACCTCTCAGGCATCCTGCCAGTTCTCTACCAGTTCCTCAACAATTCCATAACAGATCCATGATGGTTCCATAACACTATCATGACGCCATCGAGTTGCCAAGCTGAGACCTAAAATCACATGCCTAAAAGATCGTCTAGAATTATGGCATAATATCAGCCAAAATTAAATGTGAATTTACTGCACCATCTGACGCATTTTTTTTTATCACAATTTGGCATTTTAACAGGAAAACAAGCAGGCGCAAAAGATAAGCACAATAATATAGAACTGAGAACCAAATCAGGCACAGAAGACCAGTATCCTCGATATATAACTAGGTATTCAAACACTTACGGAAGGCCAACAACCTTCAAAATAGAATTTGATATTCATTTAGGCGTAGGAGGTCAATACCAATCAGATATCTACAAGGCAATAAAAAGGCCACAAAGCAATGAAAACAAGCAGATAGCTACAAGGCAATAAAAAGGCCACAGAACACTAAAACAGTAACTAGGTAACATTATACTCATATCTAGATAACATTATAACGCAACTGGATAACACTCTTATAAGAGTGTTATCCAGTCTTGATGATGATGAGTTTGGTATTTCTGATGATGATGATAGGTTTTGTACTTCCGGTAATGATGATAGGTTTGGTATTCCTGGTGATAATGATAAATTTGGTGGATTTGGTCTAACTGACTCTTTATTCTGTAGATATAATAATCATTAAAAAATGATTGCATAAAATTCAATGTCTTATCAATATCATAACCTTTAGTAATGATAGATTCTTTTCCACTTTGGTTGACGGATTATGAAATCATTATCAGACTAAATACAAAAAAAGGAATAAAATTCTTAATTCTCCTTCAGTCATAAATCAGTTCATTGTAATTAGGCTCAAAGTCAGTGATTGTGTATTAACTGGTTTTACCTTTTCTTCGATTTCTGAGACACTCTGTTTTTCAAACCTTTTTGTAATAGTTTTTCGTAGTAAATGACCTTATTCTTGTATGTCCTTTATTATGTCTAGAACATGTTGAGACTAAAATGAACTTTTCAGTTTGTAGGTCAAAGTATAGTAAAGGCTTCAAAAATTATCATACAAACCTCTTCGAGATAAATCTCGTTCTCTAGTTTGTACTTTACCAGATCCATCCAGTACTGTTCTACTGGATCTAAATTAGTTTGTTCCTATTTTAAGAAAAGTTTGACAAATAATAAAATATTTATCTATAAATATGTCTCCATTAAAGAATAAAAAGCCTGTATCAAAGAGACATACACGACACGGAGGTCTTAACTCCACAACATAGAGGTTAGGCGGTAGCGTAAAATCTACACCAGCACTGAGGCAATTCCTCCACTGATACAGAGGTCGAACAGATAGCTCCCTCAGTAACACAGAGGTCAAAAGAGGATGGGATAGGACGATGGTATAGGATAAAAAACTAACAAAGAAAAGGTAATGAAACTTTTCTCAAAAACGTTTAGACAAGCTTGCGCAAGTGTTCTTTTTTCCAGTTTAGTGGTATCATCTTTAGCAATATAAATAAGTGTTCCTTTATACACACTATATGCTTTTCTTTTTCTGTTAGACGCTTGTGCTCCAGGAAGCCAAATAGCAAGCAGGAAGTTAAGTCATCGAAGTATGTATCAACTTTAGACATGATTTGTGCTTTCTAGCAAAAGTTTAAAAATCTAATAAGTGATTCAGTTATACATCATGGGTATGTCAGTGTGATTTTTACGTGATTCAATTATCCTACAAATAAATTTTCCTCATAATTACATAGTATAATACGACAGTAAGATATACTATTAATATATAGTATGCATTTCAGAAAAAATTTTCAATGTAAATGTCCGAGGTGGATGAAATTTTATTGAACTTCAAATATATGACTTGTAATGGGTTTAAGGTTCAATTTTTGGAATAAATCTTTGGAAAAATTACGTCATTATAATTCATCATGAAAATCAGATCAACGGATGCTCCCTAAAATTATAATAGACACAGGGACTTTTTATTATTAATATGCAGGAAGTTTTGAGAATAAATTATATAAGCATTTATAGGATCTGGATCCTCAGATGAAAAACTGAAAAATATTAGCATATAAACATAATCCCACACTAGATATTAATATGTAAATATATTGCACTTGATTGTAATTAAAAAAATACATATTTTGTTCATATTGCAGAATAATATCTTTTGCTATTGATCTGCTATCACGTGACTACGATCGTGAACTTGAATTTATTGCTTAAAGAGTTACAGCTAAGACAATATTCCAACTTATCTTGAGATAATAACTTTGTTAATTTGGGATCATATGGAAGCTGATTCCTATTTCTACAGTAATGAGAAGATGATCTTCTGATAATTGCCATGGCTCATGCCCAGTTTCTTTTTTATATTTTTTGTATAAGCTAGACCGAATCTTATCTGTTAAAATTATTGGTAACCCAGTTAATTTGGCATGCCAAATCAGATACTCAGAGGTTAATACTTTATCGGATTTGCTCATATTACCTTTTTATATAATTGCCAATCAATTTAAATTTTTTTTAAATCAATATAATAATATACTATTTTAATGTATTTAATATATTTATTTTATTGACGCGATTACTTTTTTTAAAAATCTAATATAGCTGACATAAATTAACCCTGTAAAAAAAATATCACAATGAAGCGTGAGCGAATAGATATTGTAAAACAATGAATATGCAGTTATTTCTATTTCGTGCTGTTCACATTTAATAAAATAGGATCCAGCTTTACATTGACCTTTTATATTTTCCTTATCATCATGGCCTAACTTGCATAATGGGCATAATATTTTGTCAGTAATTCCATAATAATCAAAATTTTTACTACTAAATTCTCTAAATAAAATAGGATATTAATTCAATGTTTTGTTACGAAAATAGGTGTGATCATAAGTTAGACTATTGGGTTAAGAAATAGGTGATATCACCTCTACCTTGATATCAAATTTTTTCAGAGCAGATTCATTGAAAACTTGAGATTCAGTAGATGCATCTGAACTGGTAATATGTAATAAGTCAGAATTTTCTTATCACTTTGTAAACTCAATTCACAAAGTTGTATCTCCATATGAATGCTATAATCAAAGAACATATTGTCTATAATATACTGGATGTCTTTATACGTCATTTTTGAGATAGAATCAGTGGAAAAGAAATGAATTTGATTTATTTTATCCATACCTATTACATTAAAAAATGTATAGAGCTTCTTAGCCTGCTCAATTCTTTTCTGTAAAAGTGCATCAGAAGTACTTGCAGAAAGCTGAGCTTTAACTTCTATATTTAGAATTCTATTTACTATATTAGATTCTGGATCAACTTGTTTTTCAGATGCGATTTCACCTCGCTTCTGGATAAAAGCTTTTCCAAATTGACAGTAACAAAAGATAGCTTCTTGGGTCACATGATCAGCAAGGACTATGACATCACAAAGTTTTTTATATAAAAGAGAAAAAGTTAGTATTCTCATTTCTACTGCTAAGGGATCACAGCTTCGTATTATTTTTTTTAGGCAAACATCCAAAGAATTTGAGTCTAGCTCATCTATAAGATTGAAATAATTGATGCTTGAATCTGATTCTCTTTGGAAAGGTACTGAAGGTATCAAATCATTTAGGGTCACTTTAGTGTCTACCCTTCTCAGACACTTTCTGAATGAATTTTTCCCTTTGTTTTTTCTGATTTTTCTTACGAAACATCCTTTTGTTAACTGATACCTACTTATCTTTTTCAGGTGAAACAGTTTTTACTTTTGCAAGCTTCTCCTCCTACTTTCTCTACCTAATTCTATCATTAATTTTTTTTTTATTCATCTCATTCAGGAAAGAGTCTATAGTCTTTTCCTCTGTTAACTTTGAATTAGCAGGTACTGTTTCATTTGCTATTATGGAATCTAATATGTCAGCAGGTTTTTCAGAAGAGGAATCCTTGCATAGATGAGAATCTTCTTTCAACTTTGCAACTCTAGCCTTAAGCTTAGTATTTTTAGTATCATGCCTAACATTTTTAACATCACGTCTAGTATTCTTAACAGCAGTATCTATTTTAGTTTTTTTTAATTCCTCAATTTTATTCCTAAGCTCAGTCCTTAGCTTTGTAATCTTATCCTTGGCCTTATTATACTTGGCCTTAAATTCAGCATTCTCAGCTATAAGTCTAGCATTTTTTTACCTAAGTAAGTCAATTTCAGATATCATTTTTAAAAATAATTTTATACACTGTATATTTATATTTAAAATAAAAAATTCATGTGATTCTACTTTGTGAATTTAGTTCACAAAGTTTTTTTCTTGGCAAAAGAATAATTTATTTATTAAAAAAAAGATTTACATTGATTTGAAATTTGCAGGTAGATAGAATAAGCGCAAAAAAATATATAATCATGAAACCCTCATTCTAAGGTTATGAATGATCTAAAATAAAATATTATAGTAATATTTAGTAAAATGTTCATGCTAGAGCTAAGATATACTCTGGTCCTAAAATATTCATTTTAGAAAATATATCATATAAGATACCTAGTTTATACTTCGCAAAAGCTAAATTTGAGTGATGAAGAAATTTCATGAGTAAGTTATCCCTTTAAGCTTTCGTCTCTTCACGTTCTTAAATTATTTCTATTAATACAGACAAGTTATCACTAGAATAATTCTTTTGTATTAAATTCTGAAGTAAAAATGTTTATTTTTTTCAAGAGTAAATAAACTCACTCCTCTTATGATAACGGATTTCATGCTAATAATAAATTTTTCATAAATATCTGCTCTTTCTGCTAAGATAGATAAGAGCGGAATTAAGGCTGAGTAGTAAAAGTCAGCTAAAGGATCTAATTCGAATTCACCAACAGATAAAGTTCTAATATCTTCTAAATAATCTGAAAGTCTATTAGCATATCTATAACCTTTGTAGATCAGCTTCTGAAATAGCTTACCATTAGTTTTAATCTAGCGTCCTATTAAAAGGTTGAGTACTTCATTAGGAGTGACTGATTTTTGAATACTAATTCTCAAAATTAATATTTATGAAACTAATAATAGTTAATTAGTACTTATGAAATGAATATGTTTAATTACCTCTTTAACAAATTAATTTCAAACATCTTTAGCTTGATCTAAGCTGATTTCTTTCTACATACTTCTGTTTATAATATATATATGCTCTTTTTTTATCTTGATCACATGGGATACAGAGTTGAATGCTCGATTTAGTGCTCTAATCACATTCTTTATATAGTTGTGAAATTATTACACTTTTTTATATTTTGAATGCATAAGAAGCACAATATTGATCTTATATCAAATTTTTATAGAAATGAGTCTCTCTAACTAATAATCAATTATAAGGTATTTCTTTATTATTCATGCTTACTTTCATATTTAAAATTGAAAAAATCATGTGTGCGTTACTTTTTATAATTTTATAATGCCAATTATTTTTGTTAAGAAAAATTTTTTATTATTACATACGAAAATAAATACAAATGTTCAGAACGTAGTTCGTGATATATATGATTTTTTAATAAAATTTTTGATACTAATCCTTTGGAATTTTCTTTAATAGTTGATTTTGTGAGATTAATTTAGTATTCGCTTTTAATATTATTAGTTATAGTAATCAAGAAAGGGTAAAAAAAGTTGATAAAAATGTAAGAGTTTATTTCTAAAAGTTTGAAGAATTTTACAGCCTCCTAAAAGATGATTCAGTTGTAGTATTAGAGAAATATGGTGAAATAGAAAATTCAGTTTACTGGAGAGGGATTTCCATTATTTTCAAATCTTACTTCTCAACAATTATACTATTTTTTTTATTGTACAGGATATAATTCAACAAAAAAATCTTCTGAACTGATCACTGATCCAGATTAGTTAGATCAGTAGAATATTACCATTCTGCTTGATTGGCCAGTATTCTATCACCAGCTCTTAATATTAAGGTGGAAATAATACCTCAAGTTAGAGACTGACTAGCTATAGATGTATTAGAATTAGGTTATTAAAATACCTAAGATAGAACTGAATTTTAATTATTAACATATTGACCAAGAAAATTACTAAATGCATTAATAAAATCAGAAAGTGTTAAAGTTTTCACAAAATTTTTAACATGAATATTTGAATTAAATGAAATGAGCTAATCTATGATTTTTTTATACATCCTTTTAGATCGAGATATTTTAAATTAAGATATGAACAAGTAATTTCTTTGATAGTCATATCACTAATTTCATAAAATCTAAGACTAAGATGCTGAAGCTTTGGATAAGAATGAATAATATTATAAATTGATAGTTTAAAAATCTCTGTGTAGTATAAAATGTTTAGATATTCTAATTTATAGCATGACTGTGCAATTTTCTATAAATTTCCATTATTTACTTCTTGAACATGAAGGCTTACATAGTTACCCGATTGATTATCACATAAATTGAGATACTTCAGCTTTGAACATAATACTGCTATCATCTCTAATGATCTATTACTAAATCCTATACTATTTTTGAAATCCAAATAAATTATATTTAGACATGAATGTATAATGCATATAATTTTTTCATTCCAAAGTAAATAGTAGTAGGAAATTTCAAGATGAGTTACATTTGAACAATAAACTA